AGAGATTTCGAAGCCCCTGACTGACACATGTGAAGATCTGCTCTGTAAACCTTCACTCAATTCACAATAAAAAGAGTTTTTTTTTTAAGTTAAAATAAATAAATACTAAAATTAATATAATACTTTAAAAGGTCAATAAAAGCTTTTGTTTAATTTGAGCTTGTTGGCAAAGCTACAATGCCCCTATTTAATATATAAGCAAACTGAGTCTCAGAGAAATTAAAGATCTGCACAAGGAATCCACACGCAAGCAAAGAGAAGGCTGAAGCTCCTTAAAAGTACCTCCAGCCTAGGTCAGGGAAACTTCTAGACGCTCCTGGGTCTATTACACAACAGTAACTAAATTGGGACATCTCATTCTCCAACCTGGAGTCCCCAACCTCTGCCTCTTTTATAAAAGAGGAAGAAAGCCTGTGCCAGGCTCCCCCCAGGGCCTGGCTTTGTGGTGAAAAAGCAGCGGTTGTTCTGCTTTTAGATAGGAATGTTTACTCGCTGCAGTAGACAGCCCCCAGCCTGACCACAAATCTCAGGGCCCCTCCTAGTAAGACAGTCCATGCAATGGGGCTCAGGGAAACCACAAGAGGCTAGGAAGTCTACTCCCTATGCTGACTCTCATGTTTCCCAATAAGAGCCGCCCAGACAGACACACAGACCCACAGACCCACCTGCCTGGAGAGTCTGTCCCTGGCTCTGCAGGCAGGCTCTGGGCAATGGGCTGCCTGGCCTAGATGACTCGTGTGTCCGTGTGTGTATGTGCATGAGAAGCTGCACCTGATGCACTGTCAGCCTGTCTGGAGTCTGAAGCCTGAAACTCACACGTGGAGTCTGGTAACTCACCTTTGGTGGTTATTTGTTCCTATTATGGCTGAATGAGGTCTCCCTAGTTGGTGTCCCCTCAGAGGAGTCTGAGGAGTGGACAGTCGTGATCTCCTCGCTGGGCTCTGGAAGCCTACCTCCAGTTGGGCATGTCCTCCAACCCACCCTACCAGCATTAGGGCTGAAGGGTTGGTCCTTGGTCCTAAGAGACCAGGTCCCAGGAGACAGGAAGAATCTGAGGACACAGAACCAACCTTCATCCTCCCGTCTCCCCTCCTCCCACACTGCCTGGCCATGGACTGACGTATCACAGCCCGATCTCTTAGGGCACCTCCCAATCTCCTCTCAGCTCCTCCTTCCTGTGGCTTTTCCTACCACTCTTCTTCCTCTTCTACCACCCAACACCATCTAAGAACAGTTGCCCTGAGATTTACAAAACTGATCTCTGGGTGCTAACTAGAAGTTTACCAGGGAAAGAAGAATGATCCCAGTGGAAGACTTGTGTTGAGAGATGGAAGGCATGCAGGCAAACAGTGAATAACATTCTCTGCCTGTTTGACACCTGCTGCCCCACCCACCTCCCAATATCCCCAAAGCCTTTCTGGGGCAGAGATGGCCAGCACAGCCCATTGGCTGCTAGACCAGTACTTGAAAGAACTCAGTGAGGAAGAACTGAAGGAGTTCCAGTTGCTGCTCCGCCAAGAGGCACTTGGGGGAGGCTCTCCAGGTGCGTCCCCTGCTTGGCCAAAGAAGATGAGGAGCACAGAGGTGGTGGCCTTGCAGCTGGTGGCTCAGTATGGGAAGCAGCAGGCCTGGGACCTGGCACTCCACACCTGGGAGAAGATGGGTTTGAGCAGATTGTGCTCCCGGGCCCAAGCAGAGATAGCCTTGACATCAGGTGAGTGGACAAAGAACCCTCTGCCCACTCTAGGTCCCTGCACCCTGCCTCTTCCCCTCAAATTGCCTCCCACTGAGCCCTCCACACCAGGTCTTTATCTGGGCCGTGACAAGGGACTCCCCTAGACAAGAGCACGAACCGCAGACTAGGCTGGACCTGGGAGTCTTGCTGGACCCCAGAACTCCACACCCTTTCCTATCCTCACAGCGCCTGGAAGGGAATGCTTGGAAGCCAGAGAGGGAAGAATGTGGCATTGTGAAGGGTGCTGGCAGGGGTAGTCTGAGATTCATACCCAGCCCTTGAGTGAGGCACTTCCCTGGAAGCAAAGACTGGGAGTCAAGGAAGAGTGAGTTTCAGTCTTGGTTGGACCACTTTTCTGCTCACCCCACTGAGCAAGTCACTTCACCACTACCTGCCTCTGCTTCTCCAGCTGTAAAATAGGAAAGTAAGAGGTAATGTCTGAACTGAACTCACTTTCATGGCTCAATTTTCAACCAAGCAGTAGATAGTTTTATGTTGTTGTTTTTAAGTACCATCGAGTCAGTTCTGACTCACAGTGGCCCTATATAAAGTTTTCAAGGAGTGGTTGGTGGGTTTGAACTGCCAACCTTGCAGTTATTAGTCCAGTGATTATCTTACAGTGCTACACCAGGATTCCATATAGGTATACCAGTGGAGGGGATGAGGGTGGCGGGCTGCAGGAGAGGATAGAAGAGCCGGGTGGCAGGCAGGGACAATTGACAGTAGATAAGTAGGCACACCATGGAATGAGTAACCATTCAATGGGCAACCATTCAAAAGGGCAACATTTACCCAAGGACAAATTATGAAGGGTTGGGAAGGAGGGTGAAATGGAAATAACCAGAGGGATGAAGTGAGGTAACTTATTCTATGGAGGGGATTGTAATCATTGAGATGAAACAAAGTATCATTTGCTGAATGTAAAACTGATCATCTACTCTGAAAACCTTTACTCCATTCACAAGAAAAACATTGGACTGTGTGGGGTTAAAATGACAGCCCATGTTAAAACATTTAGCACAGAGTCTAATACATAGGAAGTGCTCAAAAGGTAGGGACTCTTGTCATTGGTGCTGCTATAGCGATTGTTATTTTTATTATTACTCTTAGCAACCTGGGGAGACAGAAGCTCTTAGCTCCCAGTGAGAGAGCTGAGGCTCAGAGAGAAGTAGTGATCTATTCAGACAGGAGGAGTCAGAATCTGGCAAACCAAACCTATTGCTGTCAACTTCAACTCACAGCAGAGCTCCATAGAGTTTTCTGTAATCTTTGCCAGAAGCATATCTAAGGTCCCTCCAGCAAGTATGACAAGTACCCTGAGCGATGCCTGGGGGAGGAGAGGTGCCAATGAGCAGTTTCTATTTGACCCATCACCAGCTGTGAGAAACCATTCAGCAATTTCAAACCAATTGCCATAGACATGTTGCTGATCTTTACAAAAGCAGACCACCAGGCTTTGCTTCCCTGGTTCCTCTGAGTGAGTTCCATCTGTCAGCTCTGGCTTAGTAATTGAACATAAAAAACCTTTTGCACCACCCAGAGACCAGAACCATGACAGAGACTGCATTTCCTGGATCCCCACACAGACCTTTTGGCCCAGTAGTATCTGTGAAGGCATTTGAGCCTGCCAAGGGGGTTGTGAGAAGGTTGTAGCGGGTTCAATGTTTTCTCATGACCTATCTTGAGAGAAGCAGGAGCTCTACCTATCAAGAAGAACCCCAATCTCAGTCCCCTGCCGCTCTGACAACTCCCCTTCCTCTTTTCCTCTTTTTCTCCAGATTTATCTGCGTTTCTTGACTTCCCAAGTGCCCCCAGTCTGGAGTCCCCCAGCAAGCCCACCCCCACCAAGGTGCTGAGTACTGTGGACTGTGATCCCTTGGTGCCCCTTGAGGAAGAGAGGGGAGAGATTTCGAAGCCCCTGACTGACACATGTGAACACAGTTGGAGAGATGGGGCTGTGAGTCAGCAGGTGGGTCCCCACCAAGGTGAGTCTTTACCTACATGAGGACGTGGGCTGGATGAACTGCACAGGCGGGAAGGAGGGACCAGGATGGGGTGTAGGAGCAGCGGACCTATAAATGATCCTTCTAATGCTGAGTTTGTGTTCCTTCCCATTTGACATTTGAGGAAACAGGCTCATAGGGGCCAGCCAGTGAGTTTTATCCAAATTGAAAGCCACATGAGACATAATCCATTCCCAAAAGAGCTCAGCTCAGTATCTGGGCTCTAGAGATCTTGGGGTCAGAGTAGCCCAGAAAGTTCCAAGGATGACCCGGTTCTGCACATACGTCCTCAAAAGAGGCCCTAATTTACTCAGCCCAAGCCTGTTCCCTCTCCTGACTTCTCTTATTTCGGCATCTGAGCCACTCAGATTGCAAACCCTGGCTACACCCTTGCCTCTTCCTCTTCCCCTGGCAGCATCAAGTGGCCATCTTTTCTCACTGCAGAAGGACTCAAGAGGACAGGTCATCTGTCCAAATTCATGCAGCACTTAAGACAGAGCCAGGGCGAGAATCCAGTACAACTGATCCTTGGTGTGGTGGGTTCCCCTCCACCTTGATGCTGCTTTGTGAATATCCCCCACCTTCGGCTCCCCCTGACCTTTCTTTTCTCTTCTTCTTCCTCTGGGCCCCTCTCTCCCTTCCTTCTCCCAAGCATAGCAAGGGTGGCTACAATTGCCCCCCAAATTTCATCTTGCATTTACCAGCTTGTTATGTGACTTAGAACAAGTAGTTTCATCCCTCTGTGTCTGTTTCCTCATCTAAGCCTTCATACTATTCCCATTGTTCTCTCCTCATACCACCTCCCAACCCTCAGTACAGAATTTGTACTTCTTTGAGTTCCACACAAAACTTTAATTTGTGCAAAAGTCTGAATGCATGGTGTAGATACTAACGAAGATTACACTGTTCACACTTCTTTTTACCCTCTAATACTCCCCCAGCGGAGTCCTGGTGTGGCACTGTGGGTTAATGTGCCAGACTGCAAAGCCGTTTGAACTGTGAGGTCGGCAGTTCAAGCTCACCAGTCGCTCCTCAGAAACCCTATACAGGGTCGCTATGGGTTGGAAATGACTTGACGGCACTTAACAACAATACCCCCACTAGCATTTTTCTTTCTCTGCCCCCTTCCCATGCCTAGCCTCATTGGCTCTTCCCATCTCTAGGACACAGAGAAATTCTGCTCTGCCCTCAATTTATAGGCCCCATGAGTTATGTGGGCTAGAAGAATAGTGTCTTCAGTAAATTGAACCTATTCTCCTTCTGATGTCTCTTCGGAACCAATTGTTGCTACTTGAAATGGGGAGCTGAAGTCTCCAAGTGGTTTATCAAAACCTTTCTACCTGATGTACTGCATTCCTTACCGAAAGGAAGTTTCAGACCATGTACTAAGGGAATAAAAGTGTTTCTCTATAGGTACATGATTTGAAAAATCAGATTACTAACACCCATCTAACAGAAGTATTGTGATTACTAAAGCACAAAGGATACTTCAGTCATTTCTGTGTTCTCATTCCCTCCAGGAAATGCTCCCTCAACTGCCTTCACATGCTCCCCAGACCACAACTCTCCACACTGTAAGTCACCTAATGCCCCCACATCCACAGTGCTGGGGACCAGGGTGCTCTTACCTCAGCCCAGCACACAGCCAGGAGAACAGGAGGCTGCTGGGACTGGGCAGCCTCTGAATGACACATCTGGAAACTGTTGCCCAGGTGAGATCCTGTTGGAGTCCTGGAGAGAGAAGGGTGAGGTAATGTAGTGGATAAAGAATCACCTGGGGGTGGGGTTGGTCACCTGAGCACAAAGGGACTCTCCTGGAGTGTGGTCACCACTGGAGGGAAGGACTAGCAGAGCTTGGCGGGCATCTGAAACATCTTTCCTGAGCCCCACCATTAGATTAAGAGCCTCACCTTTGGATTAAGGTACTGTATCCAGGAGACCTCTGTGTTAGACTCCAGATATATTGTTCAATGTGGTTCATGCAAAGTATGAATCTAGGAAAATTGGAAATTGACAAAAATTAAATGGAACATATAAACACCAAGATCCTAGGCATTGGTGAGCTGAAATGGACTGGTATTGGTCATTTTAAATCCGACAATCACATGGTTTACTATGCCAGGAATAACAAACTAGATAGAGAAATGGCATCACATTTATCATCAAAAAGAAAATATCAAGACCTGTCTTGAAGTAAAACACTATCTGTGATAGGATAATATTCATACACCTATAAGGAAGAGCAGTTAATACTACATTATTCAAATTTACACACCAACCACTAAAGCCAGTGATGATGAAATTGAAGAATTCCACCAACTTCTTAAGTCTGAAATTGATCAAACATACAATCAAAATGTATTGATAATTACTGGTGAATGGAATGCAAAGGTTGGAAACAAAAAGGAAAGATTAGTCATTGGAAAATATGGCCTTGGTGATAGAAATGATGCTGGAGATTACATGATAGAATTCTGCAAGATCAGTGACTTCTTCATTGAAAACACCTTTTTTAAACAACATAAAAGATGACTACACACATGGACCTCACCAGATGGAAAACACAGAAATCAAATTGAATACATCTGTGGAAAAGCTCCATATCACCAGCCAAAACGAGGCCAGGGGCAGAATGCAGAACAGACCATCAATTGCTCATATGCAAATTTAGGCTAAAGCTGAAGAAAATTAAAACAAGTCCACGATAGCTAAAATATGACCTTGAACATATACCACCTGAATTTAGAGGTCATCTGAAGAACAGATTTGATGCATTAGACACTTAATGCTGAAGCCTAGAAGTGTTGTGGGATGACATCAAAAACATCATACAGGAAGAAAGCAAAAGGTCATTAAAAAGACAAGAAAGAAGAAAAAGAGCAAAATGAATGTCAGAAGAAACTCTGAAACTTTTTCTCCAGAGTAGAGATGTTAAAGTAAATGGAAGAAATGAGGAGGTAAACGAGCTGAACAGACAATTTCAAAGGTCAGTTCAAGAAGACAACGGTCAAATACTATAACGAAATGTGCAAAGATCTGGAATTAGAAAACCCAAAAGGAAGAATACACTCAGCATTTCTCAAGCTTAGGGAACTGAAGAAAAAAATTCAAACTTTGACTTGAAATATTGAAGGATTCTATAGGCAAAACATTGAATGATGCAGAAAGCATCAAAAAAAGATGAAAGGAATACACGAGTCACTATGCCAAAAAGAAATGGTCAATGTTCAACCATTTCAAGAGGTAGCATATGATCATGAGCCAATGATACTGAAGGAAGAAGCCCAAGGTGCACTGAAGGTATTGGCAAAGAACAAGGCACCAGGGATTGATGGAATACACACTGGAATCTTTCAACAAACTGATGCAGCATGGGAGGCACTCACTCATCTATGCCAAGAAATTTGGAAGACAACTACCTGGCCAACTGACTGGAGGAGATCAATATTCATGTACATTCCAGAGAGATGACCCAATGGGATGTGGAAATCATTGGATAATATCATTAATATCACATGCAAGCAAAATTTTGTTAAAGATGGCTGCAACAGCATATTGACAGAGAATTTCTAGAAGTTCAAGCCAGATTCAGAAGAAAACATGAAATGAGGAATGTCTTTGCTGACATTAAATGGATCTTGGCTGAAAGTAGAGAATACAAGAAAGGTTTTTACCTGTGCTTTATTGATTATGCAAAAGCTTTTGATTGTGTGAATCATGAAAAGTTATGGACAACATTGTGGAAAATTAGTATTCTAGAACACTTAATTGTGCTCATGAATAACCTGTACATAGGCCAAGAGGCTGTAGTTCTAACAGAACAAGGGAATATTGAAAGTTCAAAATCAGGAAAGGTGTGAGCCAGGCCTGTATTCTTTCACCATACATCCAATCTGTATGCTGAATAAATAATCCAAAAAGCTGGGTTATATGAAGAAAAACATGGCATCAGGATTGAAGGAAGACTCATTTACAACCTGTGGTATGCAGATGATACAACCTTGCTTGCTGAAAGCGAAGAGGACGTAAAATACTTACTGATGAAGATCAAAGACCTCAGACTTCAGTATGGGTTGCATCTCAATGTAAAGAAAACAAAAATCCTCACCACTGGACCAATAAACAACATTCTTATCACAGAGAAAAGACTGAAGTTGTCAAAGACTTCATTCTACTCATAGCAACCATCAACTCTCAAGGAACCAAAAAATCAAATGACATATTGCATTAGGCAAATCAGCTGCACAAGACCTCTTTACAGTGTTGAAGAGCAAAGATATCAGTTTGAGAACTAAGGTGCACCTGATCCAAACCATGATATTTTCGATAACCTCTTATGCACGTGAAAGTTGGACAGTAAATAAGGAGGACCATAGAAGAATTGATGCTTTTGAGTTATGGTGTTGGAGGAGAATATTGAAAGTATTCCCATTCACTGCCAAAAGAACCAACAGATCTTTGTTGGTAGAAGTACAGCCAGAGTGGCTCCTTGGAAGCCAGGATGACCAGACTTCATCTCTCATACTTCTGACATGTTATCAGGAGGGTCCAGTCCCTGGAGAAGGATATCATGTTTGGTAAAGTGGAGAGTCAGAGAAAGATAAGAAGACCCCCAATGAAATGGATTGGCATAGTGGCAGCAGCAATTGGCTCAGGCATAAAACAATTGTGAGGTTGATACAGGACCAGGCAGTGTTTCATTCTGTTGTATATAGGGGTTGCTCTGAGTCAGTAACAACTCAATGGTACCTAGCAACAACAACAACAATTATTCATTAGGAGCCCTGGTGGTGTAGTTGGTTAAGCGTTGGGCTACTAACCAGCAGGTCAGATGTTCAAATCTGCCATCTGCTCTGCAGGAGAAAAAGGAAGCTTTCTGTTCCTCTAAAGATTTGCGGCCTCAGAAATCCTACATGGGTTTGCCGAGAGTCAGAATCAACTTGTTAGGAGCGAGTTTGGCTTTTGGGATTTGATGTTAGTCATTAGAAGAGAACAGACCAACTCAACCAAAACACATTTTCCTCTGGTTTTAAATTTTAAAGGAAGAACTGAAACAAAACAATATCCCCAACAATTGTGTTATAGCAAACACACACACACAAAAAAAACACATGGCATACATTCTTCAGATAAACTAGGAAAAGGAGGTCAGCAAACTTTTTCTGCACAGGGTAAACAGTAAAATCTTTAGGGTTTGTGGTCCATACTGTCTCTGTTGTAACTAGTCAACTCTGCTATTGCTGTACAAAAGCAGTCACAGACAATACACAAATAAATGAGCATGACTGAGTTCCAATAAAACTTCATTTACGGACACCGAAATATTAATTTTATATAATTTGAGTATGTCCTAAGATATTATTTTTCTTTTGATTCTTCCAACCATTCAAAAATGTAGAAGCCATTCTTAATTCACAGTTTGGATAAAAACGGGTAAGGGGCAGGATCTGACCTAAGGTCAACTGGTCAAGAACATATCCTTAAAGTGTAACTTGTTAGAGGCATTTGGCAGGAATGGGTTAAGATATAACTTGATTCAAGAGAATGTAGCTATGTGGTAACAGAGCCATGAAAACCAGAATGTTCTGGAGAACTGACATCCAGAAAAGCTAAATCCTGTTCTGGTTTCTGGGACAGACATACAGCCCTGAACAGTGCAGAGCAAGGTGTTTATCTAATGTGGCCATCCTGATGGTCTCAGAAGATTTTCATCTTGCCAGAAATATTCCCACAGAAGAAAATAAATAATATCTATAGATTATGGTTTCAGAAGTAAAGATGGCTTTCTGGTATCTCAGTTTCATTCAATGTTGGAAACATAAAGTGACTCCAGAGGGCCCACTCCCCAGACTTTCCTCAGGACATCAACAAAGATAAAATAGGAAACCTTGAACCCTGGAAGTCCGGCAGGTTTCCCAGGATGAATTGAGCTTCAGGATCCCAAATAAATCCTTTGCAGCATCTCTAAAACTCACCTAAGAATACAAGTCAGAGGTACTCAAAATACTTTGAAGGGAAAAAGAGAAGGGGTTTTTATTGGTTTCCTAGAGCTGTCATAGCAAAATACCACAGGCTAGATGGTTTATGAGAAGAGAAATGTATTACCTCATAGTTCTGGAGACTAGGAAACCCATTTCAGGGCTTCAGTAAAGCCATGGTTTCTCTGTCCACTCTAGAGAAAGACCCTTCCTTGTCTCTTCAAGCTCCTGGTGGCCATGGCTCTTCACATGTCCATTTTCTCCTAGTGTTCCTTGTTCTCTTTTTTCAGGACAGACTCAGAATGGATAAGACCTCCCCTCCTCTGATATGACCTCATGTAACCGGGCAAACTGGGATTCTTCCAAACAAGATCACATTCACAGGCAGTAGCGTTTAAAACTTCAATATATCTTTTGGGGAAAACCTCATTCAATCTATAACTGAGTTGTTCCAATTATTTGGAATCTGACTTAGATATGAACCTGAAGTCTCACAACACCTTATATGTGGTCAACTCTTCACAATTCACAGGGAACTTTCCCGTCTCTCTTAACATGATTAGAAGCTCTGCCTAAGGTTGGATTCCCCCAGAATCTACCCTGAGATAGAATGTGACTGCAGATAGTTTATTTAGGAGGTGATTTCCTGGAAACACCAGGGAGTGGAGACATAAGGCAAGAAGGGAAGAGAGTCAAACAATGGTGGATTCTGGAACAGATTACCTCTGTAAGCAACTGAGGTTCAATCCTGCTGGGAATCTCTGTGTAAAACACACCTCAGAGTTGTCTGTCCTGAAGGGCAAAGGACTCCCCTTCATTATTGTTCAAAGACTCTTTCTGAGGCATTAATTCCCCAGCATTTCTGGCTTGCTCCACTCATGGACCAAAGCAGCCCTCACACAGAGACTCACAGGTGCTTGCAGAATACCATCGATTTGTGCTGGGATGATGAGTACTAAGGGGACATTTCAGGAGTTAACAGCATCTACAATACCATCTGTCCATTACCTCTTTCTTGAAGAACAATGGATGTTTGCAGCGAGGTAGCTCCATGGTCCATTTCCTGCTGCAGAAGCCCATCCAATCCTCCATGACCTCTTACAAGGAGATATCACAATCTCCAAATTTCAAATGAGAAAATTGAGGTTCAGTAGGGCTAATTTGCTCGTCATGGGCTTACTACAGGCAAAGAACTTGTATTTGTTCTGTCTACTTTATCCCCAACCCCTAGAACAGTGACTGACCCATTGTAAGCACTTGATAAATATTTGCAAAATGAAAGAAATCCGTTTAGGGAGTACAACTTGTACAGTCAAGAAGACTTGATTGGAGGTCAGCTTCCCTAAAGGTCATGTTCCTTTCACTACAGTGGAAAGAATATGCCCATGTCTACAGCCAGCAGTGTGTGCCACGGAGTGGGTGTCTCAAATAGTTGTTGAGTGAATGAATGAACAGATGAGTGTATCTGTTTTGTACCTTTATGTTCCATCTTTCCCTCTCTTACTTAGAAAACAGAGAAAGCTACCAGAAGCAGAGGGAAGAGAGGACCTATCCTACCCAAGGCCAGAAATTTCAGTCCTGGAAAAATGAGGATTTGCACCCAAATTTCACACAGCTGCTGCTTCTACACAAACCTCACCCCAAAGACCATGAGCCCCCAGTGAGGGAAAACTGGCATCATGGGTTGGTGGAGGAACAAGGACATTTGATTGAAATCCAAGACTTATTTGGCCCTGGCCTGGGCACCTGGGAAGAGCCTCACATGGTCATACTACAGGGGGCTGCTGGGATTGGAAAGTCAACCTTAGCCAGGCACGTGAAGAGAACCTGGGAGCAAGGCCAGCTGTACAAGGATCGCTTCCAGCATGTCTTTTACCTCAACTGCAGAGAGCTGGCCGAGTCTAAGGTTATGAGTCTAGCTGAGCTCATCACCAAAAACAGTGCTGCCCCTCTGGCTCCCATGGGACAGATCCTTTCTCAGTCAGAGCAGATGCTCTTCATCCTGGATGGTTTGGATGAGCCAAAATGGGTCTTTGAGGAGCAGACACCTAAGCTGTGTCTGCACTGGAACCAGCAGCAGCCTGTGCAAGCCCTACTAGGCAGTTTGCTGGGGAAAACCATACTACCCAAGGTGTCCTTGCTGATCACAGCTCGGACCACAGCTCTAGGGAAATTCATTCCTTCTTTGGAGCAGCCACGTTGGGTGAAGGTGCTGGGGTTCTCTGAGGCTGGCAGGAAGGACTATTTCTATAAATATTTCCCAGATAAAAGCCAAGCATCCAGAGCCTTCAACTTGGCTGAATCAAACCACACTCTGTTCACCATGTGTCTCATGCCTTGGGTGTCCTGGCTTGTGTGTACCTGCCTGAAGCTGCAGATAGAGCAGGGGGAAGAACTCACTCTGACTGCCCAAACCACTACAGCCCTCTGTCTGCACTACCTGTCCCTGGTTCTCCCAGCTCAGCCCCTGGAAACCCAGCTGAGAGACTTGTGCTCGCTGGCTGCTGAGGGAACCTGGCAAGGAAAGACCTTGTTTAGTTTGAGAGACCTCAGGAAACATGGGCTCGATGAGACTGCCATCTCCATTTTCTTAAACACAGGTATTCTTCAAAGACACCCCACCTTTCCAAGCTACAGCTTCAGTCACCTGGGTTTTCAGGAGTTCTTGGCAGCAATTCTATGTGCGCTGGGGAAGAGGGAGGAGGGAAGTGATCATCCTGATAGCATCCGAGGTGTGAAAATGTTACTAGAAGTGTTTGAAAGGCATGACCTGTTTGGGGCACCCACCACACGTTTCCTCTTTGGCCTTTTAAGTGAGCGTCAGGCCAGAGAGATAGAGAACATCTTCAACTGTCAACTGTCTCCGGAGGCCAAGTGGGAAGTACTGCAGTGGGTGGAAGCAGACGTCCAGAGCACAGAGTCCTCCCCTCCACCGTACTCTCTGGAGTTGCTCCACTGTTTGTACGAGATTCAAGATGAGGCATTTTTGACACGAGCCATGGCCCATTTCCAAGGTGTGAGGATGTGTGTTCACACAGACACGGAGCTCCTGGTGGTCACTTTCTGCCTTCAATTCTGCTGCAATGTGAAGAGCCTTCAAGTGCATAAGAGCCGTCAGCATGAACAGGCCTTGAGGCCCCCCAGTGTGGTTCTGTGAGTACCCCCACTGCTTCCCTCTCTCCAGATCCTCTCTGTGGGTTCTCCTAAGCACCATAGGCATATTTTTACAGCAGGGACTCAAGGCTCAAGGTCATCCATGACATCTAACTGCCAAATCAAACCTCCATTCTCTGCCCTAATTCCTCTGTGTTTCTACTGTGTGGATGGTACTCTGCTGTTGCCCTGCCTCCTCCTCCTCCTGCTGCCTGCCCTACCTCTGTGATGGCCCAGATGTACTTCCGCCTTCACACTGAGCCTGGTTCTCCTCCACACTTCCCAGAGACGTCAGGAAGGTAGCCCTGCCTCTCCTCTCTCTCTCTTTCTTTCTGTCTTTCTTTGTTTATCAATTTTATCACACTGATAGCCTAAATAAGAAAAATCATAGGATTATCCTGATTGATGTAGGAAAACCATCCAATCAAGTAGAGAACCTTTGGATGATAAAAAGCTCTTTGCAAAGAAGGAATAGAAGAGAACTGTCTTAGTAAGTACATCTCGCACTCAAAAGAAAGGGATCAAGCTCTAGTTCGTGAACGGAGGGTTATCAAAGAATTCATGGGCACATTTTAAAACTCTCACAGATAACTGCCCATAAATAGGCAATTTACAGACGAGGAAACTTCAGTCTTATCTATAAAGCTGTAATTGTTGCTGCTCTTGTTGTTGTTAAGTGTCGTCGAGTTGGTTCCAACTCATGTTGTTGCTATGTTGTTAAGTGCCATCAAGTCTGTTCTGACCAATAGCGACCCTATAAAGGGTTTCCAAGGAGCAGCTGGAAAGCTTGAACCACCAACCTTGCAGTTCAAACGACTTTGCAGTCTGGCGCATTAGCCCACAGCGCCACACCAGGACTCTCAAATCGGTACCAACTCATAGCAGCCCTATGCACAACACAATGAAACACTGTCCAGTTCTGGGCCAACCTCACAATCATTGCTACATTTGAGCCCATTGATGCTGCCACTGTGCCAATCCATCTTGCTAGGGGTCTTCCTCTTTTTCTCTGACTCTCCACCTTACCAGATATGATATACTTCTCCAGGGACTAACTGGTCCCTCCTGACAATATGTCCAAAGAATGAGAGACGAAGTCTGGCCATCCTGGCTTCCAAGGAGTACTCTGGCTATACTTCTACAGATCTGTTAGTTCTTTTGGCAGTCCATGGTACTGTCAACATTCTTCTCCAGCACCATAACTCAAATGCATCAATTATTCTATGGTCTTCCTTATTCACTATCCAACTTTTACATGCATATGAGATTATTGAAAATACTATGGCTTGGGTCAGGCACACCTTAGTCCTCAAACTGACATTTTTGCTCTTCAGCACTTTAAAAAGGCCTTGTGTAGCTGATTTGCCTAATGCAATGCATCATTTGATTTCTTGGCTGCTGCTTCCATGAGTGTTGATGATTGATCTGAGAAAAACAAAGTCTTTGACAATTTCGATCTTTTCTCCATTGATAAGAATGTTGTTTATTGGTCCAGTGGTGAGGATTTTTGTTTTCTTTACATTGAGATGCAACCCATACTGAAGGTCTTTGATCTTCATCAGTAAGTATTTCAAGTCCTCTTCACTTTCAGCAAGCAAAGTTGTATCATTTGCATATCACAGGTTGTAAATGAATCTTCCTCCAATCCTGATGCCACGTTTTGCTTCATATAACCCAGCTTCTCAGATTATTTGCTCAGCATACAGGTTGAATAAGCATAGTGAAAGAATACAACCCTGTAGCACACCTTTCTTAATTTTAAAACATTCAGTGTTCCCATGTTCTGTTCGAACAACTGCCTCTTGGTCCAGGTACAGATTCCTCATGAGCAAAATTAAGCGTTCCGGAATACTCATACTTCGCAGTGTTGTCCATAGCTTGTTATGATCCACACAATCAATATTACCTTTCGTAAAACTTTACTCGCATGGGATGTCAGTGTCATTGTTCAATGATTTCTGCATTCTGTTGGGTCACCACTCTTTGGAATGAGCACAAATATGGATCTCTTCCAATCAGTCGGCCAGGTAGTTGTCTTCCAAATTTTTTGGCAGAGATGAGTGCCTCCAGTGCCACCTCACTTTGTTTAAAGATTTCAATTTGTATTCCAGCAATTCTTGGAGACTTGTTCTTTGCTAATGCCTTCAATGCACCTTGGACTTTGTCCTTCAGGATCATTGGCTCTTGATCATATGTTACCTCTTAAAATGGTGGAAAATCGACCATTTCCTTTTGGCACAGTGACTCCATGTATTCCTTCCATTTTCGTTTGATCTTTCTGCATCATTCAATAATTTGCCCAGAGAATCCTTCAACAATTCAAGTCAAGGTTTGAATTTTTTCTTTAGTTCCCTCAGCTTGAGAAATTCTTAGTGACTTCTTCCCTTTTTGTTTTCTAACTCCAAGGCCTTGCACATTTTGTAATAGTATTTGACTTTGTCTTCTCAAGCTGCCTTTTGAAATTTTCTGTTTAGCTCTTGTACCTCCTCATTTCTTCAATTTGCTTTAGCATCTCTATGCTGGAGAAAAAGTTTCAGAGTCTCTTCTGACATCTGTTTTGTTCTTTTCCTTCTTTCTTGTCTTCTTAATGACCTTTTGCTTTCTTCGTGTAAGATATTCTTAGTGTCATCCCACAACTCTTCTGGTCTTCCATCTTTAGTATCTAATGTATCAAATCTGTTCATCAGATGATCTCTAAATTCAGATGAGATATTTCAAGGTCATTTTGGCTCTTGTGGACTTGTTTTCATTTCCTTCAGCTTCATTCTGAATTTGCATATGAGCAATTTATGGTCTGTTCCACAGTCTACCCTTGGCTTTGTTTTGGCTGATGATATGGAACTTTTCTACTGTTTCTTTCCACAGATGTAGTCAATTTGATTTCTGTGTATTCCATCTGTAGTCCATGTGTATAGTCATTTTGTAGGCTGTTTAAAAAAGGTTTGGAAATGAACAAATCACTCATCTTGTAGAATTCCATCATGTGATCTCCAGCATCATTTCTATCACCAAGGCCATAGTTTCCAACTACTGATCCTTCCTCTTTGTTTCCAACTTTTGCATTACAATCACCAGTGATTATCAATACATCTTGATTGCATGTTTCATCATTTCAGACTGAAGAACTTGGTAGAGTTGTTCAATTTCTTCATCACTGGCTTTAGTGGTTGGTGCATAAATTTGAATAATAGTGGTATTAACTGCTCCTCACTGTAGGTGCATGGATATTATCCTATCACAGACAGCATTGTACCTCATTACATATCTTGATATGTTCTTTCTGATGATGAATGTGATGCCATTTCTGGAAGAGGATCCTTGCTTTTCTTGTAAAACTGGCTTCCTTGTTTGTGTCAGTGATGCTACCACTGACTCAGGCATTTGGCCTGGAGACACAATCTGACCGTAAGGAGCTTTCTGTAACCATCCTTCAGCTCTATTCAAGTTCCTACATCTCTGTTGCAATACTGCTCATCTGGTATTTTATGTGTCTAGCTCACCTTTTGCAGAGGAAGTAGTGGTGGCTCGGTGGTAGAATTCTCACCTTCCATGTAGGATACCTGGGTTCAATTCCCAGACAATGCATCTCAAGCACAGCCACTACCCATCTGTCAGCAAACACTTATGTGTTGTTATGATATTGAACAGGTTTCTACAGAGATTCCAGATCAAGGCAAGCTAGGAAAAAAGATTGAGTGATCTACTAGTGAAAATCAGCCAATGGAAACCATATGGATCTCAAGATCCAATCACCAACCAATCATGGGAATAGAACAGGACTGAGCAGCATTTCATTTACTGTGCTTATAGTCACCATGAGTTGGGGACGAACTTGATAACAGCCTAGAGCAACTTCCTCCCCTTTAGATGATTCATTCCAAAGGCATTCGTTAAGCACTGATTTTAAGGCAGACCCTGAAGATAATAGATTTAAAAGACACATTAATAATCTCTGCTCTCAAAGAGCTCAAAATCTAGAGGATAAGATAGACAGTCACCCAAATAATTACAATCGAGTGTGATGCCTAGAATGATAGAGGTATGAACTAGGTACTACAGTGGTCTGCGCACCTAGTTTGCCATGAGACCAAAAGAACTGGATGGTTCCTGGATACCACAACTCAATATTTTGATCAAACGTTCTATAGAAGAATCCTGATTAAAAGGGTGAAACACAGAACAGAATTTCATATTCTCATAGACTCCAGACATCCTGAAACCATAGAGGCTGAAGGAATTCCTGAAACTATTGTCCTAAGATAATCTTTAACCCTTAAACCAAAAATACCCCTGAAATTCTTCTTAAAACAAAACAATAGCTCACCTATTTTAAAAAATTGTTTAAAGTATGCCTTAAACTTTTAAGAACTAACTATAGGACATCAACCAACTGCTTCATGGGAGAAAGATGAGGTTTTCTGCTCCCATAAAGATGTACAGCCTCAGAAACTCTATGAGTCAGAACTGACATGATGGCACACCACCACCACCACCATGTGAAATCCCAGTGACAACAACAACTTCAATGATTAGCTAGGAACCATAGGGAGAAGTAAGTTTATGCTATTGAGAAGGGAACGCCCTCACAAGCGGGAGGTGAGAATGGTTGTACAACAATATAATCAATGCTACTGTAAATTGTACAGGTACAATTGAATTCTTGTGTGTATCTTCTCAACAGCAACAATGATATAAATAGAATGTGGTGGGTGGAGGATGGGAAAACAAAATTTACCTCCTGCCCCTTACCTATGTACCACTTCATTGCACCATAGACCTTATTATATTCCCAGACTGAGGCAGAAACAGATCCCAAATGAATATTTTTGTACGGTGTGGTAAGGGGCTGTGGAGCAGTGATGTGGCACATGGGTAAGGAACAGGAGGAGGGGGAGCAGCCCAGAGTGGTGGGTGGAGGGAGAGCAGTTGGGGAAGAGGGCCATCATGGGATGGCAGAGCCCACTGTGTTGTGCAGAGGTGTACACTGCAGAATCTCACCTACAGGTCACGTCTCTCCTGTCCCTCTTCCCCTCCCTTGGCTTCAGGTGGGTCCCAGTCACAGGTGTCTGCTGGCAGGATCTCTGCTGCATTCTTGAGGTCACCAGGAGTCTGCGGCAGCTGGACCTCAGCGGAAACTTCCTGAGCAGCTCAGTAATGCAGAGCCTCTGTAAGACCCTAAGACACCCTCGCTGCCGTCTGGAGACCCTCTGGTGAGTGGGCCCTGGGCTCTGCTGGGAAGTGGGGCTAAGCAGCAAACCAAGGTGGGAGCAGAGGTAAGGGCAGAAAGTTCATCTTTGGAATCAGCACTGAGCCGCTCTCTGCCATGCATATGTCAGGTGCCAGGGTCACTATGGTAAACAAACACAGACAGGAGTCTCCTCTTACACAGCTTGCAAAAGGCTGACATTGATCAAGGAGCCACACTAATGAGTGTGTGATTAATTAAGGACTCCAGTAGGAAACCATTCTTGAGGGAATGAAATTTGAAGGCGATTTTAAGACTGGAAAATCTGAAGCAGAAAGGAAGAAAGTTACAGGCAGAAAAAACAACCAACACAAATGCCCTGTGGCAGGAGGGAGGGTGGGTATCCAATTAATAGAAAGCAGACCAGTGTGCAGGAGGGTAGAGAGTAAATGGACAAGGTGAGGCTAAAACGTCGCCAGGAGCCTGGCCATCCATGCAGGGCTTCATGGGCCTTATGGGGGTTTGGTTTTTTGGTGTGTTTTTCTCCTAATACAGTAGGATTTTAGGCAGAAAGTTCGTGCCATCAGAGCCATATTTTCAAAGTAGAAATTGGCTTCAATTTTGGAAGTGAAAACAAAAAAAATTTGGAAGTGGGTTGGAGGAGAGAAAAATAGAAGTTAGTTGTTGTCGTGTTGTTAGGTGTTGTCGAGTTGGTTCTGACTCATAGCAACATTACTCACAACAGAACAAAACATGCCTGGTCCTGTGCTAGCCTCACAGTCATAGTTAAGCTTGAGCCCATTGCTGCTGCTGCTGTACCAATCCATGTCATTGGGGATCCTCTTTTTTGCAGACCCTCCATTTTACCAAGCATGGTATCCTTCTCCAGGGACTGGTCCCTCCTGATAATATGTCTGAAGTATTAGAGTTGAAGTCTAGCCATCCTGGCTTCTAAGGAGCATTCTGGCTGTATTTCATCCAACACAGATTTGTTTATTGTTCTGGCAGCCCATGGTACTTTTAATATTCTCCTCCAACACCATAACTCCAATGCATTAGTTCTTCTATGGTTATCATTATAATACTTAATTTTGTCTTCTAGAACAGCTCTTTGAAATTTTATGTTCAGCTCTTTTACTTCTTAATTTCTTCCATTTGCTTTAGCATCTCTATACTGGAGGAAATGTTTCAGAGTCTTTTCTAACATCCATTTTGGTCTTTTCCTTCTTTCTTGTCTTCTTAATGATGTTTTGCTTACTTCCTGTATCATGTTCTTTACGCCATCCCACAATTCTTCTGGTCTTCGGTCATTAGTGTCTAATGCATCAAATTTGTTCTTGAGATAATTTCTAAATTCAGGTGGAATAATTTTGACTCTCATGGTCTTGTTTGCATTTTCTTCAGCTTCATCCAGAACTTGCATCTGAGTAATTGATGGTCTGTTCCACAGTCTGCCCCTGGCCTTGTTTTGGTTGGTGATATGGAGCTTTTCCACCATCTCTTCCAACAAATGTAGATTTTTTTGTGTGTATGTCATCTAGTGAGGTCCATGTGTATAGTCATCTTTTATGTTGCTTAAAAGGTATTTTCAGTATACAAGTCATTGGTCTTGCAAAATTGTGTCATGTGATCTCCAGCATTGTTTCTATCACCAAGGCCATATTTTACAACGACAGATCCTTCCTCTTTGTTTCCAAACTTTGCATCCCAATCACTAGTAATTATCAGTACATATTGATTGCATGTTTGATCAATGTCAGGCTGAATAAGTTGATAGAATTCTTCAATTTTATAATTACTGGCTTTAGTAGTTATGGCATATATTTTGATAGTGGTATTAACTGCCTGTCTTCTTGTTGTTGTTATTAAGTACCATCAATTCAGGTCCAACTAGTATTGAACCTGGATAGAGTTTCTGAGGAGTTTCTGGTGGGTTTGAACTGCTGATTTTTTGGTTAGAAGTCCAGTGTTTATCCTACAGCACCACACCACAAGTATGTTAGGTGTCATTGAGTTGGTTCCAACCCAAAGTAACCCTGTACAAGGTTTTTAAGGAGCAACTGGTTCAAACCTTCTGGAATTGAACCACCAGCCTTGCAGTTAGCAGTCCAATGCTTGTCCTACAGCACCATACCAGGTATAGGGGGTTAGGATTTATGAAAACAAATCTTGTGGGGAGTGGAGAACACAATTCAATTCATAACAGATGGTGATAGTTTGGATAAGGAAAATTGTAGTCACTCCTGTAAGCAATGATTAGAGCTTGGATACTTGGCAGTGAAGATGGATGGAAGTAGATGAATTCAAGAGATTTTTAGAACATAAAATCAACCAGACTTAGTGGTGGATTCCATTTATAGGCAAAGGAGAGGAAGGTGTCAAATCTGATGTTGGATTTCTGGTTAGAACCACTTATGGGATAATGGCACCTTTGCTGAGATGGGGAATCCTGAAAGAGTAAGGTTTAGGCAGACAGAAGTTATTCTAAGAATGATCTTGAGTATATTGATATGAAGTTCCTTTGAGGTATTCAAGTATTAATTTCCAGCAGTTATGAAACAGAGCTCTGTGAAAAGATATGTCTGCCTCATAAAACAGGTTTCAATAAATTTGTTGTTGTTAAATAGTGTTCAGTCAGTTCTGACTCATAGTGACCCCACATACAACAGGACACTGCCAAGTCCTGTGCCATCCTCATGATCATTGCTGCCACTGTGTCATTCCATCTCATTGAGAGTTTTCCTCTTTGTCACTGTCCTCTACTTTGCTGAGTATAATGTCCTTCTTCAGGGACTATTATCATACTGATAACATGTTGAAATTACATGGAAAGAAGTCTTGCCATCTATCTCATCTAGGAGACATTCTGACAGTCCAAAGTATATTCACTAGTCTTTGGCCAACACCATAATTCAAATGTATTAATGCATTAATACTTCTTCCGTGTTCCTTATTCAGTGTCCAGCTTCCACATGCAAATGAAGCAACTGAAAACATCATGGGTTGTGTCAAAAGTTTCTTTGTCTTCAACGTGCTTTCTAACAATTTAAAGAGATCTTTGCAGCAGATCTGCCCATTACAATAGGTTGTTTGATTTCTTGACTTCCATGGGCATTGACCGTGAATCTAAGTAAAAGGAAATCCTTGACAACTTCAATCTTTTCTTCACTTATCATAATGTTGTTTATTGATTCCATTGTAAGGACTTGGGTTTTCTTTATGTTGAGGTATAATATAATATTCTGATATTCATCAGTAAGAATTTCAAGTCCCCTTCACTTTACTACGCAAGCAAGGTTGTGTCATCTGCATATCACAGGTTGTTAATGAGTCTTCCTCTAATCCTGATGCCATATTCTTCTTGATATAGTCCAGCTTCTCAAATTATTGTTCAGCATGCAGATTGAATAAGTATGGTTAACAGATACAACCCTGATGCACACCTTTTCTGATTTTAAACCATGAAGTATCCCCTTGTTCTATCTGAATAACTGCCTCATGGTCTATGTACAGGTTGCATCCACATGAGCATAATTAAGTGTTCTGGAATTACTATTCTTTGCAATGCCATCCATAATTTTTTATGATCCACATAGACTAATACTTTTGCATAGTCAATAAAACACAGGTAAGCACCTTTTGGATAGTCTCTGCTTTCTGACAAGAGTCATCTGATATCTGCAATGATAGCCCTTATTTCACATCCTCTTGAATGTCTAGCAGGTTCATGTGAATATACTGCTACAACCATTTATTAATTATATGCAGCAAAATTTTATTTTCATGTGATACTAATGATATTGTTCAATAATGTCCACATTCTGTTGGATCACCTTTCTTTAGAATGGGCATAAAATGGATTTTTTTTTTTTTTCTGTCGGTTGGTCAGATAACTGTCTTCCAAATTTCTTGGCATAGATGAGTTGGCATTTCCAGCATTGTACTCATTTTTTGTTGAAACATCTCAATTGGTATTTCATCAATTCCTTGAGTCTGGTTTTTTCTAATGTCTTTAGTGCAATTTAGACTTTTTCCTTCAGTACCATCAGTTCTTAATAATACCTTACATTCTTGAGCAAGTTTCAGAATCTCTTGACATCCATATTGGTTTTTTCTTGCTTGCTTGCCTTTTAAATAACATTTTGCTCTCTTCATGTATGATGTCCTTGATATCATCCCACAACTCACCTGGTGTTCAGTTATCAGTGTTCAATGCACCAAATCTCTTCTTGAAATGGTCCCTAAATTCAGGTGGGATGTACACAAGGTTGTACATTGGCTCTCATGGACTTGTTTTAATTTTCATCAGCTTCAACTTGAATTTAGGAGCAATAGGAGGTCTATTCCGCACTCAGTCCCTGGCCTTGTTCTGACTGGGGATATTGAGCTTCTCCATCATCTCTCCCCACAGATGTCTTCAATTTGATTCCTATGTATCCCATCTGGTGAGGTCCAAGTGGTTATGTTGTTGAAAAGATATTTGCAAGAATAAGTCATTGGTATTGCAAATTTCTATCATTTGATCCCCAACATCATATTTTCCTGCTATCAATGCTTCTTTGTTTCCAATTTTACATCCCTTTCACCAGTAAATTTTCCAGCATCATATCTGGCAATATTCTGGTGCTATTCATAATGTGTTCAGTTTCTGGCACAATAGCTGACAATATTCCACTGCTATTCGTAAGGTTTTCGGTGACTAAACCTTCAGAAGTAGTCCACCTCACCTTCTTCCTAGTCTGTCTTTCTGGAAGTTCCACTGAAACCTGTCCACCATGGATGACCCTGCTGGGATTTAAAATACTCATGGCCTAGTTTCCAGCATCACAGCAACATGTCAGCCACCACAATATGAGAAAACGACAGATGAGCAGCGGTCACGACTCTGAGACCAGAATAACCTCGAGGATATTATGCTGAGGGGAATTAGTCACAAAAGGACACATGTTGTATGAGACCACTGCTGTAAAAAGTCAAGAAAAGGTTGACACAGAAAGAATCATTCTTTGAGGATTATCAGAAATGTAAGGGGAAAGGAGGCTATATCACTAACAAGAGAGAATCCTGGAGGCGCTGTAGGACAAGCCATGAGATATTGGTGCGAAGAGCTTTGCAGGCAGAAGAAAAAGCAGGTGCAAATGCACTGAGGACAGTGAAGATGGAGCTTAGAGAGATACGAAATGAGAGCAGAGATGACAAGGAGCCAGGGCACCTTGAGCCCTATAAGCCAGGTCTTTTATTCTGAGTGAACTAGGAAAACATGGGAGGATTTTGATCAGAAGAGAGTTGGAAACGGATTTTCCGCTATGTGTTTCTATATCTGCCACCCAATAGACTATGTAATTCTGGGGGTCTGGAGGGCCTTATTGACCCCCAGACTTACATATGTGGTCAACAATTAGACTCAAGGCTACAAGTGGAACCGAGAGGAAGTGAGTCATACAAGGTTGATAAGGAGAGTGAGCAGGATTCATGTAAAGCACATAGAGTGAGAAAGGGAGGTTTCCAGCAAAACTTCGCTACAGAAGGGAGAAGGGAATCTCCTAAGTTATTGAAAATCAGGCAAGTCTTTTGTTGTTAGGTCCACTGGACTCATAGCGATCCTATGCACAATAGAACAAAACACTGCCTAGGCCTGCGCCAAGCTCACATCACGACTGTTACATTCGAGCCCGATGCTTTATCTGCCTTTAAAGTCACCCCAGAATCCAAAGGGTTGCACCTATTAGAAGTGCAGACCCCAGATCCAGAGAAAGGAGCCCTCAGGACAGTGACTGACTGAGGTCACATGTGTGTCTCTCCTGCAGGCTGGTCAACTGTGGTCTCACACCCAGCTGCTGCCAAGACCTGGTCTCTGTGCTTAGTACCACCCCCAGCCTGACAGAGCTCGACCTGCGGCAGAACAACCTGGGCAGCCTGGGTATGAGGCTGCTTTGTGATGGGCTACGGCATCCCAGCTGCCAACTCAAGCTTCTGTGGTGAGGCCTTGTGGATCCCTTCTGGACAGAGGGTCGGGCAAGGTGATGGGATGGTTAGGGATTGGGTTTCAATGAAATTGAACAGGGGAAATAAAAGGGATGGATAAGCACATCATCAGCCTGGGTTCCTTACCTGCATGAACTCAGAGGGCCTACAAGCAATGACAGATCGATGTGGTGGCATAAAGGCCCAGCCCCTCATCCCAGCAGCTCTTTCTAGGTTGAAAACTCTCCGTAGAGTTGGCCAGGGCCTCCACTGAGACTATATGGCAACCCAACTGCTCCCGGGGCCCAATCCTATCCCTCTCTTCCCTTTGTCTGGTGTAGACTCAAGAGCACTCCCTTATCAACCTCCTCACTCTAATCTCTGTCCCACAGGCTAATTCCCAAAGAATCCATCCTGTGGCAGCTTCCTGGAAGTGACTCCAGGATCCTGGGCCAGGAGGACCTCAGGATTATGTCAGGGATCCCGGGAAAACCAGACTTCCTTTTTTCCTTGCAGGATGGACCAGACCCATCTGAGTGATGAGGTGAATGAGGAGCTGAGAGCCCTGGAGGAGGAGAAACCTCAGCTGCTTGTCTCCATCAGATGGTAAGGAGGTCCCAGAATTCCCTCCCCTGACCCAGGCCCAGGGTTGTGATCATAAGACTTATCCAGAACCAGGAAGTGGGGCAAGAGACTTATGGTAGGGAAAGACAGACATGAGAAGAAGCCAGAGAGAGGTTTGTTTTTAGTCTGTTTCATGCAAATACAGTGTAACAACGCAGCTTGGATACCTAGTTCTGCTGTAACACAAATACCACATGTGGGTAGTGTTAAATAACAGAAATTTATTTTCTCGAAGTTCGGGAGGCTAGAAGTCTGGGTTCAGGGCACCAACTTTATAAGAAAGTGCTCTCTGTCTTTACTGTCTCTGTCTCTCTCTCTCTTGGGTCTGGGGGTAGACCCACTTGTCTCAGCTTCTACAACCTTGTACTCACCAAATCCTTGGCAGTATTCACATGGAGGATCCCAAGTTTTGTCTCTGGGTCCAATCTGTCCTTTTTATAATTTAGAAATGATTCTGTTTCTAACACACCCTACACTGGTATGGCCTCATTAACATAATATTAGATTCATTTACATCCACAGATATAGGGGTTAGGATTCTAACAAATATCTGGGGGAAGGCTATGATTCAAATCATAGCACCCTGAGATGAGTAAGGAGAAGAACACATGAGTGAGTGAGTGAGTGAGTGGGTGAGTGGGTGAGTGAGTGAGTGAATGAGTGGGTGAGTGAGTGAGTGGGTAAGTGAGTGAGTGAGTGGGTGAGCGAGTGAGTGGGTAAGTGAGTGAGTGAGTGGGTGAGTGAGTGAGTGGGTGAGTGAGTGAATGGGTGAGTGAGTGAGTGGGTGAGTGAGTGAGTGGGTGAGTGAGTGAGTGGGTGAGTGGGTGAGTGGGTGAGTGAGTGAGTGGGTGAGTGAGTGAGTGGGTGAGTAGGTGAGTGAGTGAGTGGGTGAGTGAGTGAGTGAGTGGGTGAGT